AATCAATAAAATTGCCATGGAACAATTATAAGTATTAACTTATGCAGCAAAAGCCACCAACTTTCCCCACCCCACTCCAATTTCTACTGAATGCTAAAAAATTACTTTAAAAAATTAGATAACTGATATGCTCCAAAATTAGTTTAGGAAAACCTAGAGTATACATATTGCAAGCAACAGTAGCTGAAACCAGATAATCCTTAAGTTTCAGTGGTCAGGCCTTTTCTCACAGTACTTCCTGTCTCCAACCCCCACTCTCATTAACCAGCAGACATATCCTATAAACTATGCATTCTTTTACACACATTACGTCAAGAAAATCAAGACTTTTTTGTCCTTGAACTATATAAACATAAATCATAATTATAATATTTACTGTTACAAATAATATGATAAAATGCCAAATGTACTTCAGAAAAACCTAGGATTTTTTTCCATAGCTTTCTATATTCACTAAAATAGTAAAAACATTTTAAAATAATAAACCTTATTATAGACTAGTTTAACAAAGTTTCCAGTTCATGTTAGAAATATTAAAATGATCTTTAAATTCACATTTGCAAGTGTTTAAACAGTTTTATAAAGTCATTTTCTAGAACAAAACTTTGAGAGTAAAAAATATAAAGAATATGTTTTAACATTAGCTTGTGAAGAAGCACACTAAGCTAGCTTTAGAAAATTTTAGTAGAAGTGTTTGGAAGAAGTCTATATACATAAAGTCATGTGAATATATGCAGAACCATGTCCCTGAATACAATTCAAAATTTATTAAGCATTTATTCTACTTGGAACTGTTCTCAAAGATTCATATTAAAGAGTTCTCTGACACTCTGAGCACCAGATCAATTATATCACAGTCATGGAAAGGAATAATTATTATGCAAGGAGAAATATGCTCTTATATCAGTTTTGCGAGAACATAACAGAAGTCAATATACCAGTGTCTTGCTAAATATGTGCCACAATGACTATGTACCTGTTAATGTTCCAAAGTACAGTCTTCTGTACCTCTTCCTTCCTTCTTACTGTTCAAGTCAGAGTGCTGCTTCTCCTAATACTCTCTAACCCCCATTCAAAATGAGCCAAACCCTGAACCACCAAGTTTCAAAGACAAAATCAGTAACAAGAATCTTCTCTGTAGAATTTCGGTTAGTAGTGGTAAAAGAGAGGACAAGATGCTGTTGCTCTTCGCTTGGCATGTTTATAAACAGCAACATTTCATAAGCAGCAAAAATTGCCTATGGCATCTTCCAGTCTGGGGCTTGCCATATTTAGATGATACTGTATCTGTGATGTCCACATTCTCATATCCCCAGGAGTAAAGGAAGAACAACAGGAAAAAGAATCTAGGGTTCCCACTTGTAAAATTCAAGCAGCCACAAAGGATATGCCATGTGCAGCTAGTTCTAGATACAATCCCTCTTGAAGGTCTTCCACTTCCTGGGAGAAAGCAGGGAATCCAAAGAACCTGCTTTAAGCTCTCCTGGCACTCCCAATCAACAGTAACAGCAGCAGCATGTCTAAGAGACACAGCTTAAAGCAGCATGGAATATATGGTATTTGCTTCCTTGAATCTGCAGTAACATATACACACACTCAAACAAGGGAACTGAAGGGTACTGCTATCTGGGGCACAGAGGCTTATCACAGTCCCAAAGCACCTTACCGGTACATTATTCTGTACCCTGTCTAAAGTTATAGGATTCTCTCTTTCCTGAAGTGAGCTTTAAGATCTTAAAGAGTGATACCAGGTAAATCCAATCCAAACCAGGGTACGTTGCCATCAAGTCTGCTAGTTCCAAGACAACAGTAGTGCTGCTGCAGCCAACGATTCCTTGGCGTACAGACATGTTAAAATGATACTGGCAGCAGCACGAGCTCTTCTCTCTCACCCTCTGCTGTTACTATAGCTCCTTTTGCTAAATCTGCCTCTGAGTTTAGACAGGAGCTGGATGGTTCATAATCACCCAGCAGCTGCAGCTGAGCAATACTCAGCCTAATTGTGGAGCTGGAGCAGCTGAAAGGAAGAAAAGCGATAATACATACCCTGCCACAGCCACACACAAACTGCCGTACACACTACCAATAAGATAACCAAGATACTTTGACTGGAACAGATTATTTCCTTTAAAGAAAGGCAGTAGTATCTCACTATAGGAACTTGTATTTGTATTACAGACCTGTTTAAATGTGAACTGAAGGTGACCTAAGCCATGTAGGGTTCTGAACAATGAAAGATCTTAACTAAAACTTCCTGTAAATATTCACATAACAAAGCCAGCACCACAAACATCACCTTTATAACATGACTGCAAGTTCCTGTGATATAAGAATTTGGCACTGATGTGATCTCTTCTTTAACTCTACATTACAAAAATGCAAAGCAACCAACAACTAAAACAGCAAGCCATTACATAAAACAAATAAAGTAGCATAATGCAATAATTCTCAGCATTTTGAAGTCTTTTGAAAGCACATTGTCATTTGCTTTCTTTTAAAACAAAACACACTCTTCCTTTATGACACATCTTCATAAAACTTAAGTAAATAAAAACTTATGCTGAGAATTTCATGACATCCTTAAGGATATCAAAACTAAGGCTGAAATTACTGATCTAAAGTACTGTTCCAAAAAACTGAAAGTGAATAAAAGTCAAGACTTATTACCTCTGTGCCATGGTTAATTTTGAGTTTTAGCTGTCATGTTATTTAATTTTCTGATACATATTTGATGACAGAACAGTATCCATTAGTTTAATAAGCATATTTTGATTATCTATTTGTCACAATATAAATGCTAAAGAGGATTTAAAGTTAGTAATACCTACTGTTTTCCCTCAAAATATTAATATAATTAACATGTAATTTATATGTCAAAGTAGTTACATACACTAGCTGGTATATGATAATTATGATGTAGTAAGCCTAATCCTGTTCGCAAAGGACAACCCAGGCAGTATTCCAGTGTTGGTCACCAAATAGTAAGTTCTTTATCCAAGCACTTTATGTAGTACATTACACACAGGCTTCTTTAAAAATGAAAAAAGTTTTATGTAAATTAAAACATACAGAAAAGCACACAAAACAAATGTGTGGCTTAATGATTTATACTAAGGCCAACACCCTTGCAACCACCACCACGTTAAAAGAACTTTGCCACCACTTCAGAAGCTGGATCCCAGTCACAACTTCCTCCCTCCTCCCATATCTTTATTTTTGTAGAAAGCACTTCCTTGCAGGTTTTTCTTTAAATACAGTTTTATCACCCAAGTTCCTAGACACAAGAGCTTAGTATTGCTCCTTAAAATTTTTTGATATTAGGCTTCTTTTTAGAATAATGCTGATAGGAACTAATAAATGATACCTATACTGAACACCAGATCGAGAGTTAAATATATGTATAAAGAAAAAATACATTAATAAATTATTTACTGCCTAAAAAGATGCAAAGTTGAACTTTGTAGAAACGATTCTTGCACCATGGGTTGGTAATATTTCACTTATACTGGATCATTGCTACTCTTAGAATATTTATTCTTTTAACATTACATACCATAAAGATTTATTTGCATGGACCTTGATTTTGCAGCTTGAGAATTTCCTGAATTAAAAAACTACTTAAACCATGTATTAATATTATACTTCAGCCACAAGACAAATTCCACCTATCCCAGGAAGATAAGTCAAAGCTGTAATTTCACTTTCGGTTGAACAGAAAGGAGTCAATTTTGTGGTTTATGAAGTCAGCAAAAACATACTGCAAAATTAAAGCTATTATAACATTACAGTGGTTATGGCAGACTACATATTTTAAGAGCCCTTTTATATTCTGGAAACACGGATATAAACTGTCTTGTATTCAGATTCAGATCAAAGGCCATTTGTTTTTTGTTTTAACATTTGGGACCCTATGAATTGTCCACCAGCGTTAAAAATCTCCATTGAGATTTAAAGTTAAAATACAATTAAACTTCCTTGTCTTAATGTCAACTATGGCAGGGATCTCCTACATTAGTGAAATAAAACAAATGTATGGCTTAGCAAATACAACTTTCTTTCAGAATATATCGAAATCATATACAATGTACACAAGATCCTTGGCTTTTAATACAAGACATTCCTTCATTATCTGCCCATTCAAAATGTTTCTTGTCCACTGTGCGCCAAGCACTCCGCTGGTTAAGATATTAGATTTACCACATACCTTGCCTTAAATGCAGTCATATGTACACATTTAGAATATCTTCCTTAGTGTGTAATTTAACTTCAAAAATTTAACGAGATGGTTTAAATACACTTAGAATTATCAAGATACTTTTGGCACTGTGATTCTACAATTACACTGTACAAATATGCTACGATCGCGTATATGTATATGTGAAATCACCTATGTGAAAACACACATCAGGGGAACATATATACATAATAACCGGCATGAATATAAAATTGTGATTCCACTGGAGACTTGACTTTAATAAATTACTTACAAAATTTTAGTGTGAGTCCATGCCTGTTTAATCAGTTACACAGAAAATAATTCAACCAAATCCGAACTAAATTGTCCCCCACTCACTACAAAATTAAAGGAGTTCCTACATCGGACCTTATTTTCGAAGAGCTTCTTAAAAGAACGCTACTCCGTGCCCAGTAAAGCAATAGCTGAAAGCAATTATCAAGAAGGAAACACACTTTAAAACAAAATTTTCTGTAACACATGTTGGCATAGAACCGAACCAACTGGGAGGCGGAGTGGTAATAATACTGTAAAAGTGGATGCTGAATGGCATATTTCCCAACCCCCAACACAAAACAAAGGAAAACTTTAACATGTTGTGGTTTTCAATCAAACCAAGAGAAGGGAGAGGCTCATCCACTTGCCCCCTACACACATCCTCGACCGCTCTCCCCGCACAGCAGCCTCTCGGCTGTTGTAAGGCGGGTAAGTCAACACAGACCCCCGACCTCTGGGACAGAAAAGGGCCGCTGCCCTCGCCGCTTACTTCGGGGTGCGAGACAAAATAAACCTCGCCCCTGCCTCGCTGGGTGGCCCACACGACCTTAAAGACACGGGTGGTGGGTGTCTCAACAATCCTAGGACCTTCAGTCGGACTTCGGCGGAACCGGGAAGGACTGGACGGGGCGGAGACCGAGTCAGGGGGCGAGCAGGTAGTGCCGGGAAGAAGACACGCCCGCCGGCGAGCCGGGCCGGGGGATGGGAGAACTTTCTCCCCAACTTCCCGACTCCGAGCCGGAGGGGGCGGGGAGCGGCGGCGCCTCCGAGCGCCGGGGCCTAACGCTGCCTGGCCGGGGTCGGCGGC